CATTTCATATAACAAAACACATACCTGTACAAATACTATCATTATCATTAACATATCTATCATATAATATCATACATTTTTCCAATCAATACCCATTTCATCTGATGAATATGTATTCTAAACATTTGATCATGACATTTCAATATGCATGTATCTATTACACGATAACATATATAATCATATCATGCACATACGAATCTTACCTTCTTGTACCACTTTCACTTTAAAGTTTGTATTTCAATTGCCCATGTATATTATTGAGAATAGAGGTATGTGAGTACATTGAGGTTGTGCACTAATGCTGTCACCACAACTCGTATCAATTCCCTCATGGGGCACCGAACCTTAGTTCAGTATTCATCCCGTAGGACCACTATGTCCCGAAGGACCACTGTATACGTCCCGTAGGACCACTATGTCCCGAATGACTACTCCTTAAGAACCACATACATAATACAATGGCTCCAATAAGTGTACCGAAGTACTACATATAGGTTCCACATAATTACATACATGTCCCGAAGGACCACGTAGAACCCTCGACTCTTGGCATGCCAACTATACCTATAGCTCTCATATCATATACTATGGGCTTTATTCTTATGTTTCATATCACTTGTTCCTTTTCTTCTGTCACATACCATATGTATGTGTGAACATACATCTCATATCATATAACCTTTATCTCAAGTGCATGTAATCACGTATTACATGTAATCACGTAGATCATTTCATATGGATTATATCATTTCTCATTTTTCATGTAAACACACATGTCATATCTTATTCACATATGTTCATATATACATCATATATCACATAGAATAACATATAAACTTATACATATATTCATGTACATACTTTCATATAGTTCGTATATCAATGCCCTATAACTTATCTCACATTATTTATATCCTAGTTTCATATATTTACTTAATTCAATTTCACATAACTTGTTACCTATATATATATTCTTATAACTTATCATCACATAACTCCCATAACATCTTCCTATAGCTTCATAGATCTTTACTATATGACTCATATATTATATGTTCATTTAAGCCCATAACTCTTCCCATATAGCTTATCTTACATGTTCATAATCACATAACTTATATTCTTTTTCATATAATCACATATGTCTATGTCGTTTAACTTATCATTTATATCTATATCATCTATTTTATATCATTTTCTCTTGCTATCACATAAGTCCTTGCTATTTTTACATAGTTCGCGATCCTATAGTCAATTATAATAGCATATGTTTATCTTATCTAATATCATATAGTTCTTTACTTATGTCTTATATCACATATTTATATTATAAACTTATATAATCACATATACTATTTAAACCAGTTCACATAGCTTATCACACTAACATATATTCATTCAATTCATGTAACATATGCAATACATATAACATATGTACCCATTTTCATGCACTCATGCAAACATAAGAATCACAATTCAAATAACATTTTTAGGAGTCCCTTCTTACCATAGTGACTCCATCACTGGCTCATCGCAAGCCAATGTTTATTTGGTACATAAGTACAATTTAAATTGCACTCACCTGGGCCTCGTTGTTTTGAATCAATCCTAATCCTTAGTTTGTTCCGGAACAAGCTTTCATTCTATATCTACATAATAATACATTAATACTTATCAGTATACTGATTGATATATTTGAAACTATCACTCCTTGGGCTCAGAGAAAAGCCAATTTCATCTTTTAATGAATGTATGCATCGATACACTACACCATGCATCGATGCATAAATCCTATTCGATGTTTGTATTTAATGGGGATGCATCGATGCACTCCTTATGCATCGATGCATAAATCCTATTCGATGTTTTCTTTTTAAATTAATGCATCGATGCACTGCATGTGCATCGATGCACCTTAAACAATTTCTGGGATTTATCATCGATGCATCAGTGCACAATGAATGTGCATCGATGCACATTGCCCAGAACTGACATTTTAGCACGTAAATCATCAACTCTTCCCTTAATTCTTCTATTTTAAGCCCCTCTTATGACATTAAACTCAACTACCATTACTTGAACCAACTTATATCCATGTAAATCATCTTTAACCTCAAAATCCTATCTTCCTTATGAGATTCAAGAATCATACCAAATTTTCTATATGTTCTAAATCCAATTCTATCACTCCAAATCTCTTAATTTAACCATTGACAAGTCAAATTTAACTTCCAATTTAAGAAATGAACTATACTTCAAGATTTCACTTTTCTACTTCATTTCTTTAATTCTTCATATACTCCTCATCTTATGGTTTTAAGATAATCTAAGCTTTCCTTAAGCTTAGTTATTATCTAAGGATCAATAAGCAACCTTAAATTCATCAAGAATTTGATCCACAAGAAAACTCACCTTTAGCTTGGCTCTCCCACATATGAAGAAGAAGAAAGGAGAAGAGAACTCTGGATGTTTCTCATTTCCCACGTTTATATCACCTTTAAAAGAAAGAAAAAAAATCTTTCTGGTCAAATAACCATTTAACCCTTAACTTCTTTTAATAATTACTAAATAACCTTCATCATATATATTCAATAATCATTGAACTATTTCATTCTTATACTTTAGTCACCAAATTCTGAAACTTTACAATTTGGTCACTAACACGGTATTGCGGATGTTACAATAGACTAACTAATATGCACTCACCTGGGCCTCACTAAGTTCCAATTCACTTTTATGATTTCCTTTATTTCGATCAAATCTTGACTTGATAATCGCTCCAGAACTTGTTCGTGCTCGATATCTATATAATCATACATTGATACATATCAGTATCCAATTGATATATTCTAATATATCATTTCTTAGACCAAAAGAAATGTCTATTTCAATTTCCCCTTGAAGTGCATCGATGCATTCTAAGTGCATCGATGCATTCTAAGTGCATCGATGCATTCTAAGTGCATCGATGCATTCTAAGTGCATCGATGCATTCTACAGTGCATCGATGCATTCTTTAACATGTGCATTGAATAATGCATCGATGCACTACCCATGCATCGATACACAAATTACCTTCGATGTTTTCATTTTAAGGGGATGCATCGATGCACTCCTTATGCATCGATGCACCAATTGCATTCGATGATTCTTCTTTAAAGAGTGCATCGATGCACATTCAATGTGCATCGATACACCTTGCCTAGAATTTGCATTTTAAGCCCGAAAATCATAAATTCTTCTATTTTAAGCCCCTATTATGTCATTAAATTCAACTACCATTACTTAAACCAACTTATATCCATGTAAACCATCTTTATCTTCCATATCTCATCATGATTCTTAAGATTTAAGAATCTTACTAAACTTTCAACTTTATTATTAATCATTTCTAACTTCATATATCTCTTAATCTTAGTGATGACAAGTCAAATTCCTTCTCAAATTTCACTTATTAACTATTCAGAAATTCATCTAAAAACTCATTTTCTTTAATATCTTCTATATCTTTCATCTTGTTGTTTTAGAACAAATTAAGCTTTCCTTAAGCTTAATTATCATCTAATGATCATAACCCAACCTTAAAATCAATAATTAATCAACAAACAAAGAAACTCACCTTTGAGTCAAGCCTTCACGTATGAAGAAGGAAGAAGAGAAGAGAACTCTGAAACCTTTTCTCTCTTCCCACGTGATTTCCTTATCTTATAAGGAAAATAAAATTTTCCTTATCAAATGACCCTTTTGCCCTTCAATTCATCTTATAATTACTAACAACTTTTATGATTTATTTCCAAATAAATCATTGAACTAATTCATGGTTATACTCTAGTCACCAAATTCTGAAACTTTACAATTTGATCACTAACCCGATATTGAGGATGATACAAACAACATGATGGAACATACAAAATGATGCTGACCTACTCGACAGTATAATTAAAATCAACTTGTATAATCTACTGTTAAGTGTGATTTAGGAAATCTCAATTTTAACAGTCAATTCTCAAACAATTATCCTAAGCTAAATTCACCACTATCTCATTTCCCTGAGATTACAAATATACATGTTCATCATCAAACATCCTAGCGTGTTTTTATCTTTTCATAGAATATTTTTATAAATCTTTGTAAGAGGTTCGTCAGACATTTTCGATGCCCTAAATTAAAATTTAAAAATAACCTCTTATAGAATTAAAGTATATTTTATTATTTTAAATAATTAATTTAATATTACATTAATAAATTATTTTATTAAATAATACATTAAATACAACTAAGAAAGAATAAAAAAAAAATTAAATGCGGGTATGATAGCTTGGTTTTGAATAATAAAAATAAATAAATAATGATGTATTATTTTATTGTTAAATTGAAATTGGAGAAGGCTAAAAGTTAAAGAAACTTTGATAAATTAAAGAATGAGATTTAAAAAAGAGAGAAAATTATGGTTAAATTTAATTCAAAATTAAATGAATTATAAGGAAGATGGGAGAATACAGTCAAAAATTAAGAAATTTTAAAAAATAGAAATCCCAATTATAAACATAAAAATTAAGGAGTCTAATTATAAATATAAAAATTAAGAGTCTAAACTACTATTCAGGGTGCTCCTTCGAAGACCTTACCCTACGTATACATAAGGATATCCATTGATAGCATCATTTTAAATATCATTGCGTTGCATCATACATTTTCAAAGATACTACTAACAATTCTACTACGTTATAATATAATTTATTTAGTTTGACAAACATAATTTTAAAAAATTAGGGGTATATTAAAAGAAAACTAAACTAATAAAAACTGTAAATATTGAGGGGCTAAATTCAAGATCCTGCCTTAATTTTAAACAAAGCTAAAAAATAAGTTCCCAAATGACTGAAAATTATTAATTCAAAAAGTTGATGACTAATTTGGAGCAAATAAAAGTAGAGAGACTAAATCGGCAGTTATTCCTATAATTTAATCGAAGAAATTAGGAAGATTTTCCGGATCTAGGCGCACCCGTATACCTGACCAACAGGGGCAATTCGAAGATCCCAAACGCTTTACGTTTTTGTTATTTTTATATTTTTCATCTATAGACTTGGGGGAAGGGTCAAGAATCTGAAGAGCTTTGATCCCTCAAAAATCCATCAATGGCGGGGGTATCTTTGAAGTGTGGGGACTGTGGGGCACTGTTGAAATCGGTGGAGGAAGCCCAGGAACATGCCGAACTCACTTCCCATTCCAACTTCTCCGAGTCCACTGAAGCCGTTCTCAATCTTGTTTGCTCCGCTTGTGGCAAACCATGCCGATCCAAAACAGTATAACATCCGCTTTTACTTCAATTCCATTAGGGTTTTATTTGACCCTTTTTGTTATACTTTTTTTCCCATTGGATTGGGTTTAAAATGTTAATCTTATATTGGGTTTTTGGACTTTTCTGCTGATTTGGGTTGGAATTGCAAGTTTGCATTGAATTAGGTTTAAATTGATTTTTTTTTAATCTAACTTAAAAGTTAATGCTTATCCGACACTTATACGCGTGGGTTAAGGATTATTTAATATGTTAATTTTACCGAATTTAAGAAAAGTAATCTGTTAATTGCAATTTTCTTTCAATATATATCACTTCAGCCAATGCCTTTAGGCACCGGTTAACATCTCTCTTGATTTGATTTTTTTGTGCTGGATTTGTTTTAGTTTGAAAACATGGGATTTCTTGGATTAGGGGAAAGTTGAAGGTTTGATGTCAGAAAGTGGATGTTTATATAAAGGATTTGGTGAATTTTTGGGGCTTTGGTTGTGGAGAAGCTGACAACATTGTGAAGTTTTTGTATGTTTCTTTGTTTATAAACATGAAAGGTTATTTTTTCTTCCATGAACTTGATTTTGCGGGATTTTTGGTTAAATCAACGTTTTTATCTTTTAAGGTCAATGTTATGTTTTGAAAACAAAATCTGAAATGGATTAGAACTCTATGATGCATTTCGTTTTTTTTTCTTTTTCTGGCAAACAAAGTAGTGCAGTTGGTTTTACATTTACACATGATTATAATTGGAGCTTTACTCTTGTTTCATCTTGAAGGAAAGCGATTTGCATACAAAACGAACAGGGCATACCGAGTTTGTAGATAAGACTTTGGAGGCAGCAAAACCAATCAGTTTGGAGGTCCCAAAGGTAGCTATGGACTCAGAGGAGGCTGTTGATGCAGGTAGCACCAGCAAAACCAATCAGTCTGAAGGTAAATTTGCAATGGTTTGATGACATAATTCCTTTCTCCTCTTTTTTGCTTCTGGGGGTTTGGGAATAATTGCTAAATATGTTATTCTAAATTCTGCGGGGGCTATCTTACTGCAACTCTTCCTGCCAAGTTCTGCTGGACAATAAGTGCCTTCTTCGCTATTGTATATGTTATAAATGCGTGTATATTTAAATGTGTATTTGTCATTATGAATAATTGTTTTGTTTTCCTTTGTTTTGATAGAGATAGTTGTGCCAGAGGTTGACAAAAAACTGCTTGAAGAACTGGAAGCGATGGGTTTCCCTACTGCACGAGCAACACGTGCTCTCCATTTTTCTGGTTTGGTCATTTAAATTCAGAAGTGCTTAGTTTACATTTTTTTTTCTTTATTCTCTTTTTCCTGCGAGGTTTTATATATTATTACTTTTGTTCTTGGATGTAATTGCCTGGTGGTGAAATTTGCCAGTGCTTCATCTCAATTTAAAAAATTAACTCCATAATACAACATGTTTCTTTGCATACAATTAGTTTTTAAAAGTGTCTCTATCTTTCTCTCTCTGAATTTCAAAAGATGAATACGGGCAACTTTACATTTTTTCTTTTCTTCTTTTCTGCGATTAGCATTCTTGATTTTGATGCTAAAAGTACAAATACGGAAATAAAAATATGTTCATAAAAACTTTCAGACAATACTGATAAAGGTTCAAGCTTATGGGATGTTTGTTATTGTGTAAACGTTGGGTTTCCCTTCTGCAGGTAATACAAGTCTTGAGGCTGCCGTGAACTGGGTAGTTGAACATGAGGCTGATCCAGACATAGATGAGATGCCCATGGTATATTATCTTTGCACCCTGTACATTACAGATCCCATAAGTACATAAATAAGCTAGTTCTATTAGGTAGGAGTGGGCTGGGTTTCACCCTAAAACTTGCCTATAGTCACCCTGATTTGTGCAAGACATTTCCTAGTATTTATATGGACTTTCACGTGCATTGTCTTTTCAGGTATCTGTCAATAAAAATGCTGAGGCACCGAAACCTTCTCTTACACCGGAAGAGATGAAGCTCAAAGCACAAGAGCTAAGGTACAGCTTATCAAGTTGCATTCTTCGGTACTAAAATCGAATGCATAGTTTAGTCATTGGTGATTGAAGCATTTGCCATTGTTTTCCACCTATTTTACTGCTGGGACTTGGATGTGAGTGTCCAACAAGGGTGTGTTTAAGTTTTTTTACTAAGTTTTTCCATGTATTTTGAGGATTCGTAGAGGGAATATCCTTGTACCCATGTCTAGATATGCGTCCGATGCAAATACTTAAATAAATATGAAGAGTCGGAGCAACATAGTTTCCACTTTTCGTAAAAACCTTGACCATTCTGCCTAGCTCCTGATGTTCTGTTTTATGTGGCGAAAAGTTTATTTTGGGTCTCTCTCTCTCTCTTATATTGTGAAAGTTTGAAAGTTCTAGCCTGTCTTCTGGTGAAGGACTGCTACACATTTCAGATATATTTCAAGTTGTTATATTGACTTGTATGTTAGTTGTGACATTTTTCTCCTGTTTCATATTCATCTTTTTTGTAAATAACAGAGAGCGGGCTCGGAAAAAGAAAGAAGAAGAGGAGAAGAGGATGGAAAGAGAAAAGGAAAAGGTGTTATAATTTTCGTGACCATACATACATGCATGCTTACATTATTCTATAACTAGTTCTTAAAGCTGTTTCCTATACCATCACCCATGATGTTTTTCATTGTGAAAAAAATATCACATTTTTTCATGGAGTAATTTTAGAATTTTTCACTATCAATTTCTTTCCTGAAGCTTGCTGTAACATGATTTTCGCATCATAGATCATTTTCTATTTGTGTGACAAAGTTTACCATTGTTTCAGGAGAGGATTCGAGTGGGCAAGGAGTTGTTGGAAGCAAAACGTATTGAAGAAGAAAATGAGAGAAAACGGTTTGTGTTCGAGACTATATTTTGTATTCTTTTCCCTCCTGTTTCAATGATTTGATCAAACTTTGATCAGATGATAACAGTTATTTTTTCATTTATTTTTGCTTTCACAGTTTGATGGCCCTGCGGAAAGCTGAAAAAGAGGAAGAGAAACGAGCAAGGGAAAAGATTCGTCAGAAATTGGAAGAAGACAAGGTTCTAATTTTTTCTTTTCACATTTCCTTTTTGTCCAACACTATTAATCACTTTATCCACTATGTTACTCTCGACGCGAGCATGTCCAGAATGGATATGGTCCCTCTTTTAATAAGTTTTTTCATGTATTTCAAAGGTCTTTAGGTGGTTATATCCTCGTGTCTATGTTTGGATATGTAATGGAGACGGTTGTTTGACATAGTTACTTCAAGAGAAATGAAGAGTTGGAGTAACATAAATTATCCAACAATGTTAACAACTTGACCACATTAAGCAGCTACCAGAATATGTCTATGTTGCTATCTTTATTTTGTGGCATTATCATTACTTCCTTCCACTATTTAGGTCTGGTAAACAAAGTTAAATATGTCTCACAGGCAGAGAGAAGGCGGAGGCTAGGGCTGCCACCCGAGGAGCCTTCAGCAGCACTGAAACCTTCTGCGCCTGTCGTGGAGGAGAAAAAGGTAATAGCCTTACTGAAGAGTAATTATTGCCGTAATCCAAGATTTTAGTACAACTCTGTTTCTGTATTGCAGAGTGCATTGCCAGTTAGGCCTGCCACAAAGGCAGAGCAAATGCGTGAATGTTTGCGATCTCTCAAGCAAAATCACAAGGTAAATAAAACTTTAATCTTGATAACTACTTGTTATCAGGGGATAGTCTTTTTCTATTGTAATGTGAAAGTGTATGGATGTCAGAATTTTATATCAATAAAATGAGGTGCTCTTTTCCTCCTTCCGCTAGTTGATCCTTTCCTCTTGAAAAGGGTTAATTATGAAGGGGTTTTTTAATGAGACCTACTTTTATAAAAAAAAATAACTATTATCATCTTAACTAGGAATCATAGACATGAGTACAACACGACACAAACATAGAGACATTTTTTTTGAAAATTAGGACATAGATATGGTAAAAGACAATTAAAAAAAACCTAAATTACTAATTGTAAAATTGGTGCTTTCTAATTAAGCATTAACATGCAAATAGTTTTTTAAGTTTTTAAAGTGACTGAATTTGAAAACTTGAATCCTAAAAATTCTATTAGAATCAAATTGCCGTTTGTTAATTCCATATTTGGGAATAATGCAAAAAAGAAAAGCAAAACACCATCATGTGTCCGGGCATGTCCATCCATATTCAGATGTTTCTACTCGTGCCTTGACAATATTTTGGTCATATTTGAATTTAGTTTTGTTTTTATTTTTTGCACGTCTTTGTTTGCCTGACATGCATTCCGTCATCCATATCCAAACTTAAACACTACCCTGATAGAAGTGTCTGTGCTTTAAAGCATCTTATGGTATCCCAAATATTATCAGTATTATCTTTTAGATTGACGACTTTCAAGCACCATGCACCATCGTCATTAATGATGTTTAGGCCTGGTAGTAGAATAGCATGGTGTCTCCCTTACAAGGCAACATTCCAAGTATAAATGCATATAGGTTTAGTTTTCAATCAAATATTCTATACCCCTTGATGGCCATATTCTCTTGTCCATTAGACGAGATATTCTCCAATACTAGTACTTTTCTGCTATTTTGTTCAAAACTCAGGTGTGACCGTTATATAAAATAATGCGTCTAATATGAGTATGTTTAACTTTCTCCAAGTTTTTTCATGTATTTGGAAGATCTTCATACTCATGGTTATGCATCAGATATGAGTTCTTCAAAAAAAAAAAGTTGGAGCCATATAGATTCTTTGTTCCTCTAAACATAGCTTTTTTTTTTGCTTTTCTTGGTGTAGGATTCAGTCTTTTAATATCAATTTATGTTGTCCTCTTGTAATTACCTATGTTGCTCATCATTTTTCTTCAAGTACTTGTATCCAGTATTGATGTTCGGCACATATTCATACATGAGTATTGGTGCGTAAAATTCGATTCGACTCGAAAAAAATTGGTTTTTTCCCCAAAATTCAAGTTATTCGAGTCAACTCAAATTTTAAGTTCGAGTTGAGATTTTTAAAGTTTTAATAACCAAAAAACCGAAAATTTAAACATCGTTTTGGTCTTTAGCCAAGTAATTTACTGTTTTGCGATTTGGTCCCTAATTTCCTTGTTTCTTCAGTTCCTCCTTCGTTTTAACCAAATTTGAACCACATGCTCCTAAATCATTGTAGAATACAAATGTAGCTTTAATTCATCTTTTTGACAATAAAGTTTCTCCTTTTTTCAATTTAGTCCCTCAACTTTGCATGATTTCCTTGTTTCTTCAATTCCTCCTTCGTTTTAAGTATGTTTTGACCACATGCTCCTCTATCACTATAGTATACTTATGTAACTCCAATTCCTTTAATAACAACAACTTTCTTCTCTTTTTTCAATTTAGTCCTTCAACTTTGCATTCTATTCAATTTGTTCCTTCAACTACAATTTTTTGCATTTTTTTTCTTCTCATCAATTCATTGACTCGTTTATACAACCATCAACATTTTGTCCTCAAAATATTTTCTTTAAAAAATAACATTATAGATATATTTTTAATTTTATATGGTATTCAATTTATTATTTATTAAATAACATTACAAATCTTACATATGTGAAAAAAATATGAAGAACTATATATATATATATTATATATATATATCTTATTTGGTTAGAGAAAGTCGTTTAAATTGGAATCAATATGTACCATAATATTTTAAATAATTACAATTAAATTTGAATAGAAACTCTAACAACTCAGCTCAACTTGATTTTTTACTGGTTCAGTATATTTATTATTGGCTTTTTTTTACTGTTTGGCCTGGTTCTCAAGGGGTTCAATGTTCATCTAGTTCCTAGTTCTTACCTTCTGGACCGGACAGGCCACCAGTTCCTTGACTGGTGTGGATTTTTATTCCATGTCAAATACTAAAAATTTCCCATCTTACGTGTTGCACATTGGAGCCGCAGATCATTTTTGTGGTCTAACATTTTCTTTTCTTTTCTTATTTGGATAAGGATGATGATGCCAAAGTGAAGAAAGCATTCCAGACGCTTCTGACGTATATCGGAAACGTGGCCAGGAATCCGGATGAGGAGAAATTCAGAAAAATTAGACTCAATAATCAAACTTTCCAGGTAATAAATTCAACTTTTTTTTTATAGGAATTAGGCCCCATTAAAAACCTCCTCCTTAGTTATTGTGTTTAGAAACACAATAATCATTGGAAGGGGGAAAAGGGTGCCCATAATTTATTACCAAACATAAGAATTACAACCGAAACGAAACACACAATACCAAGACCTTCATTACAACAACCCAGTAACCCAAACCCACAAAACCACAACCTCAACACTCATTAACCTATTCCAGATTTAGCTAAACAAGCAGCTTCCCCATTAGAACATCTGCTAATATGCCTAGTCAGAACACTAAACTGCATAACAGTTTTCTGGATTTCTCTGATCAAATCAACATAGAGAACCGGGCATTGATCCGGGTTGTTGATCCATTTCAGAGCCAGAGAAGAATCACTTTCCAAAATCAGAATCCCCTTATCCCTCCAAACTGAATCAAAAAACAATTCTAACCCTGCTTTAATTGCAGAAATCTCAGCCATAATCGGAGTGCACGGACCTGTCGCTCTCGAGAATGAAACTAACTGCTTATTATGAGCATCCTTAAGAACACCTCCAATACCGCTTCTTCTCCAATCAAACGTAACAGCCCCATCAATATTCATCTTAAAATGACCCGAAGGAGGCGGACACCACTTCATTTTTGGCAACCGCAACTTAGTAGGGGAACGATGCACATCCGCTAAGGTTAAATCACCCATAAGGCTGTCAACTTGGATAGATATGTTCTTGTATTTAGCCAAGAACCAAGATGCCACCCTATACCTCACCAAAAAGAATAGATTAGCTTTATCCATCTTGCCATTCTGAAACACAATCTGATTCCTGCAAATCCAGACAGTACACAAAACTGCTCCCGGTAGAAAATTCCAAATATCCGAGTTAGGTCTCAATTCCACCCAAGAAAGCAAGAACCCTTTAGGATTATTGGGTAGTACTGAACAGACATTCCACAACCGTAAGAATTTTACCCAAATATCCCAGACCAGGTCACAAGAAAAGAATAAGTGGCTCACCGACTCAGGTTCCACTCCACAAAACACACAATATGGATTCTCGATACCTTTGACACCTCTGCTCAGTAAAACATATTTAACAGCCAACTTCTGATGAATAATTTGCCACAGAAAAACCTCCACTTTAGGTGGAACTAACCCCTTCCACACAATCTCCGACCAGGCGACATCTGGCTCAGATAATCTTGAAAAATTTTTGTTACAAGACTTACCGAAAACACGCCATCCCCATTTCCTTTCCAAGCAAAGTAATCTTCTCCTGTCAAACAAGGACGAAAATTATCCAATAGTACCATCATTTGCAACCATTGATCAAATTCCCTGTCCAATAAATCTCTCCTCAGTTGAACATCCCACACCCACTCCCCATTACAAACACACCCAAAATCAGCCACAATCCCAGCCGACAAAGCAAATATTCTTGAAAATTGTGTCTTCAAGGGATGGTTACTAGCCCAAGAGTCATGCCAAAACCTTATTGAATCTCCTTTTCCTACCTGAAGCACTAGGTTATTTCGAAAACATATCCCAAAAGAGTCATTCAACCGATAGTTTTTTAATATGCCTTCCCACATCCACGACGTATTGGAAGGCAAATTAGCATCTAGAACAATTGACCTCCTATCAACATTATACTTAGAACAGATCGTAGCCTTCCACCAAGAATCCTTCTCATTACCAAACTTCCAAACCCATTTGCCCATGAGAGCCCTATTCCGAAGTAAATGCATATGATTATTCTTATATATAGTATTAATTTCACAAAAGTTTTTTTGTATAAGCCAAAAATGAGCTAGGCTTTAACTCCTATATTCATGGCCTACGGCTGGCTTGCCCAGTTTTGTAATTATAATGTTATTATGGTGTAAACCTTAAAAAATATATTAAGTTACCAATGCTCAACAAATTTAGTAAAGAAAAAAAATGTAGAGTTACTAAAGATAATATAAACAGGCTTGGATTATCCATTTATTCATATAGATTGGCTGACATAGAATTTGAGCTGTGAATATAGCTGAATTGGACTTGTTCAAGGTGTATATCTGTAGTATATTATGTGCTTGTTGATACTATGCCGAACTGGCCCCGGGAATAAATTCAGACACTGGTTAACGCTTCCCTATATGATTAAAACTTCCCCGAAACTATATGAATATGATAGGAATACACAAATATCTTATAGTTTATGTACTAATACGGATCATCAATTCCATTTATATTATACGTTCTTTTTGTCCGCCATCTAACTTTACATGGAGGAAACAAAAGAACCCTTACACACGGCATGGCAGACAAGGAATCTGGTCACGTCTCGTGATTCAAGTTGTATTTGTATGACAGGATAGAGTTGGATCTCTGAAAGGAGGAGTGGAGTTCTTGGAGCTTTGTGGATTTGAGAAAGTCGAAGGACAGTTCTTGTTTCTCTCAAGAAACAAGGTTGACATGCAAGTTCTCAACTCAGCTGGATCCGAGCTCAACTCTGCTATCAACAATCCCTTTTTTGGGATTCTTTAACTTTGAAAATTAAATCTTGTTTCTATCTTATGAAAAGGATTTATAAATCTCTCTTGGCATGTTTTTCATTGGTTTTGTTCTTTACAAGTTGGAATTTTATCTGTGGATTTAAATATGTAGAAACCGAGTCTTGTCAACTCATAACTTTCACATGGTTTGGTTTACTTTTACTGAACCTCTTTCAATTGCCTAATGTACTTGCTATTCTTAATCTTATATGTTTTATTTCTTAGGGGAAATTTGTGTTTTATGAAATTTTATTGAATTTCATCACTATAAAATATTAATTCTCTTAATTACAACATTATGTATGATTTGAGAGTTTTCATAATTTAATCTTAAATATAATCTTTAAATGTTAAAATGATAGTGACAATATTTTGATCCGGCTTAGTCTTGTAGTTAATGATGCTGACAATTTGAGCATTTCAAATAGCCCAAAGAGCCATCACAATTATTTCAAAAGTATCCATCTCCATGATCTCTATCGATGCCTTCAACTAATAAATCATGATGGTAGCATTTGAGACCAATGATTATGTTAGAAGAATCAAATGTAACACCCTAAACTCGATCACCGTCAGATGCGCTGGAGATTTTATATTGGGTTGTCGAAGCAACCTTCAAATTTTAAATTATTTTTGTATGTTTATTTCAAAACACAATCATTATCAAAATAAGACATTAATAAAAATTATAAAACATTTATATAAAATAGAACTCCGTGACACTGTTTTAAAATCAAAATAATATAAATCCTAAAGTTTATATACCAAATATATGACTAAGGACCATATGAATACACATGAGTAATAGTCCTTGATTATCTTTCGTGATAGGATTGTTATGAAAACGTTCACATTGCACTCATTTTTTTTCTTAGGATTAGTTTTCCATGAAACTTACTCAAAATCAATGAAATTAAACAAATAAATATATATTTTTTTATGGATCTTGGGTGTTTGTTTGAGAATTCGAACGAATAGAAGTATTATTTCGAGAAGACGAATAACATACATCAAAACTGATCTCATCGGACGACTATCGGAAAAGATATGAATATTAGCACGTTGGACTTTTATACGGATTTTCATTGATTTTGGATAATTTTCGTGAAAAACCTTAAGAGAAGGAGAAGAAAAATATTGAAATACAAATGTTTAAGTATCAATCTTGTCGCAAAAAAGACTAATGACATACAATGATTGGTTGTCGACGATGGATGAAAAAGTTTAATACCAAAAAGTAATTTTTTTTAAAATTTATTAACAAAATCAATTCACCTATAAAGTTTAGTGGTTAAATAATATCATTATAGATATCGATAGTTATGTCAAAACAACATCATTTTACTCACGTAACCATACTTTAAAATTTAAAAGTTTAATGGTTTAATTAAGTTAAAATCAAAATTCATTAATATAATCGGTATAATCACAAAAAACGGAGCTGACAGTGCTAAAAGCTCCCAAAAACCTACTAGTTTCTTATCTTTCAATATGCGCAGCCACCCTCCCTTCCGCCCCCATGGCGGCTATCCCCCGTCTCAGCCCCCATTCAGACCTCAAAATCCGAATTTCGCTGTCCAACACCCCAACGTCCTCCAATTCCTCCAACCCCAGCCAAACTTTGCTCTGCAACAAAACCCCGACAATTTCTTCTTCCAAAACCCTATTACTTATTCCCTTCCGCAAAACCCTAACATACCAACCCAACAACCGCCACAACAGTTTTTCAATAGTTCCAGCAGCAGCCAAAGCCAGCTTCACAATCAGAGAGGCGGCGCCACCTCTGGCCAAGTACCGAGGGAAGTTCACGAAAGAGCTAATCGGGCCGTGAACCAGGCGTGGCAAGAGCTTATTGCTTCTAGAAACAGTGTTACGGCATGGAAAGTTTCACAGGCAGCCTTGGTGGCACTGCGGGCTGACTCTTGGAGCTCGTTGGGATTGTATATGCAGGGGATTCCGTCATTTCAAAAGCTTATGACCATTGAAGGAAGGGTAGTTACAATACATAGATTATATATCTTTTATGTGCATGCTTTTTTTTAATGCAAATTTATTGGCTATATGAATGTTGAAATCCTTTGATAGAATAGGGACAATTGGATACTTTGTGTATTGTTGCTGATAATGCTTTTTAGAAGATGAGGGTTCAATCATACTTCTCAAAGAGAGATATAGAAGGTATGTTTGAACCACAAAGCAAATAGTACTTCTGAAGAATCAAAACATACGGTGTTAATAAATCTTTGGAGAATGGATGATTTTCTTTGTATAAGAACAGTTATGCTAGGTCCTGGGTTCAATCCCAGGCAACCTCTCCCCCTTCTCCTTCAAAAAGAAAAGAAGAAGAACAGTAATGCTAGAAGGGTATTACATTTTACTTTTTCGGTCATTTTCCTCCATCTTTAATCAGTTTAGATCTTGCTTACTATTTTTTTTAATTACTAGCAACAAGCAACTCTAGAAAAGTAAGTAGCAGGGCGATGACTAAACAAAGCCTTAATGCCATTTTAAGATTTAGTTTTTAACTTCTAAGGGTTGATATTTCACTATAGAAAGTTGGAATTGCATGGGACTATAAACTTCGTTAACCAAGTGTTTCTTAGTTTCTCCTTTCAAAGGGACAGACAGGGGATACTTCTCTAGCCGCATTAAAAGGAGCTTTCCATGTATAGCAGACAGATTGAAATTTTCTGCTGTCCCCTTTTTATTGATGCAGGATGCCAAATAAAGGCCAAATTATTGTTTGAAACGTGATGCTTATTTCCTTCATTCCTTTTTTATTTATTTTAAATTTCTTGCTTTCTTCTGTCTATCTTTTAGGTAAATGCATTTATCCAATGTTTTGTTGGAGTACGAAAGATTACTACATTGTATGAACTGGAGATGGAAATATGCAAGAACGAGGATGTTAGGATGTATGAGAAGCTGGAGCTGGGCCCTTTGGTTTGTCATCCGCTTGTCCTGCGTTACTTTTCTCTGAACTCTAATTGTACAGAAGTTTTTCAAATAACAAGTGAAGACGTAATTGCTCACCTCCATGAATACATGGAAAGTCATAATAGTCAGGAAATTCTTATTGATGAATTTCTTGATTTTGTTGCTGAAAAGCAAGCTGCCATGAGCAAGGAAGAGCTTGGTGTGTGTATTCAGAGCTTGGCGTATGTATTCCATATCTTTTTACTAACTTTAAGTAGGAAAATTCTGATGCACCATCAGAAACCTGAGAACTCCATAGAACAGTTTCTGAAAATTGTGGCTTATTCTGTCTTTTGTCGCAAGCCAGTATATGCTGCTTATAGATTACAACGTCCAATATCTTTGTTTTTTTTCTTATAAGCACATTTTAGATAATCACTGGTAAAATTTTCATTAATATAGTATGAAATAATTTATCTTTTAGTCCTTAACTGGAATGGAGTTGGTCTATCTTCAAAGTGTAGGAAGCTATTGCACTTTCCAGCATTTATACTTGTGAAGTTAAAAGCTTTTATGTTACTTTCATCATTTGTTTTTTTGTGCTCTCTATAAGGCATCTTATAATTTTGTTATACCTTACATGGTTAACTTTATGTTACTTTCTGTACGATATCCTTATTTGTTACATGGTTTGTTTCTCTGCACTTTCTAAGTTTCTATCTAATATCCTATAATTTTTGATCCAAGGCTTAATTGAGTATTAACTATTAAAGCCATGCATCTGAACATGTTATCTTTTGAAGTAAACTTTTGACTGCCTATTGCATCATCTTAAAGTGTCATATTCGTAAACCAATTAAAAGAATCAATACATTCAGTGATCACATCCTAATTTGGTAAGAAAAATCTGATATTGTAGGATACTGAAATTGTTACTGTTTTGACCATAGGATGTATACCAGTTTTATCAAGAAGGCTGAGAGAAAGAAAGATTTTGAGGTAAAGAAATGCCCGAAGGGGTTGAAGGTAAAAAAACATTGCAAGGGGCTGAAGCTAAAAGAACGATATATGAACATATCAAAGCAAGTTGAATCATTTATGTCACTCCACAAGGATTTTTGTGGCAAGCATATACGATTTGATTCATCAAGCTCAGAGGAGGAAGAGGCCAATGACCGTGCTCATGAAAATGAAAGGAATAGCAACGGTGAAGACAGCGACTCTGAGTTGCCATCAGAAGTTATTAGTAGCTCTGATAGAGTTAGTCGTTGTCCTTATCCCTCTGCAACAGAAGAGTTGATAAGGCTGGGATTGAAAGAGAGAATGAATAAACTGTCTCCTAATACTGCTAGCTCAAAGCATAATAACTGCACTGGACCATACAAACGCAAAAGAAAAATTGATAGTCCCAGTCCTTCTGTCTCTAGACCACCTAAGCTAAGCAGAAGAGATAGGCTCAAGCAAGCTGCTATTCCAAAAGAAAATGGAAATCAGGCCGAAGAGCTTAGTAATTTGAATGAAGCTGATATTTTGCTTTCTGATAACTTGATGAAGACATTCGTTACAACTTGGAAGGAGGCATGTAGGGAGCACACAATGGAAGAGGTTAGTTCACTCTAAAAAATTTAATGGTTTACTTTTGTCCCCTTCCCAATACAATTAGTTTTCTTATCATGAGGAATCTGCACTCTTTCTAAAGGATCTGCCTAGATGTATTGCGTGGTAGGATTGAAACCACAGATTATAGGTTTAGGGACATGGAAAGAGCTAGATAGGATTAAAACTTAAATAGTGTCTCTTCTATTTATAGTACATGGTTGTTCAATAAAATGTTGAGACACCCTTTTCCTCCTTCCAATGCTTTACGAAATAGCATATTTCGTTGAGTATGAAGGTTTTTTTTAATGAGGTCTCCCTCTTCTATCAAAAAAAAATAGTGCCTCTTCTCTAGAGAGAGGATAAAGAGGGCTAAAATAAATTGTACTTTAACATGCATCACTATGTGATGTTAAAGACCGAGTGATGTGATTGTTTGAAAGAAGAGGGTCTCTGGCGCACTGATGCATGTCTATCGTGTTTCCTTGACTTGTGTTGTACTTGTCCTTTTATCCATGAAACTCTTAATTAGAGATTTCACATAGTGTTTCTTCTGTTTAATATCTTTCAGTCCAGTAACTATTTTGAACTACCACTCCTTGCATAAAGTTATCAACCTTGAAATATTTATGGAGATCATCTAAATTGATCTTTTGGCCCTAGCTATAGAACTTGCCATGTTTGTTATATTTTCATGCTTCTCTGCTGCAAAGCTTTGAATTGCAAGTGGTGTTGATTGTAATTAGCCATGCCAGTTTTCATGTCTTCT